GAGATGCAGGCATCCAATGCAATATATTACAGCAAATGTTTATTGTATCTGCTGAGATCTGCTTAAACCTCAATATGCAAATGAATTCCCCTGCCATACTCGACAACTAGAACAATTAGTTGTTGCCATACAAGTCATGGTTTTACTCTAGAGATGTGATGGAAAGGATTCATGGAAGTTCTGCAACTTCTGTATCTCTAGTATGTGATTTATGATGTAGGTCAGGGGTCCCCAGAGTTTCTAAAAGCAGGGCCAATTCACTGTCTTCAAGACTGTAGGACGTCCAGGATGTGGCCAGTGGGCATATAAAATGTCCTGATGTCAGTGGGAATAAACAATGCCCCAGGCTTAGTGACCAGTGGGAGTAAACATTCCTAGCACCTGTTTTCATTGAGAAATGGGGAGGGAGAATAGTGGCCCATTGTTGGTGTCATTGGGAAGAAATGGTGCCCTATCAATGTGGTCAGTGGGAGAATGTGTGCCCCATTGCGGTTGTCAGTGGCAGAAATGTTTCCCCATTGTTGCTAGTGAGAGCAATTGTGCCGATCATTTGTCGAAAGGGAAAGGTATGCCCCAATGTTGGTGTTAGTGGGTGGAATTATGCCCTGTTGTTGGTGTCAGTGGGAGGAATAGGGCCCTAAGGGGCAATTAAGTGCAAGCAAGGGGCTGTGGTTTGGAAACACTGTAGATGATGTAAATATCTTCGGCCACTAGTGTGTGCTGGGTATATTAGTAACATTTATTTTTGTATGACTCAGACCTACCTGCAGTGAGATACATAGGAGGAGAAACCACACAGAAATGCTGGATATTTAAATGTTTCTGCAATTTAGTGATTATTAAAGCTTCCCCAAACATAGTAAACTTTTCAAATAAAGTGTGTTGCTGTTTCTCTAAAATGGCAGTAGGATTGTTTTTTAGGGGAGTGCTTTACATACAAATAGTGCTTTTCTATATTACATGCAAGCCCAGTAGCAGACATCCTCACAAACTATGCAACTTTTCTTGCAGTAATCATGCTGCACAGTCTACACTGTTCATGCAAGATCAGAGCTGAGGTTAGTCTGCCAGAAAAGGCCGACTGATTTATCTATCCCATTTCCTCCTGTTTTCTTTCTTCTGATTGAGGCCTGTTTAACCGTGATATGCAGTGTATGAGAATCAGCCACATGCCGGAACTAAAGCTAAAAATTGTTTGGGGTCACCATAAATGATCTTGATTTCTTGACAAATGGTTTTCCTAAAATATATTAAAATGGGGTTATATTATTTGACAACTTTTTTCATAGCACAAAGAGTGCTAGTAGTGCAGGCTGATTTTGCCTCTACGTTTTTACTGTTCCATGTATTGCAAGAATAGTTTTTTCTCATTTGTAATCCTTCTTTTGCTGGGTTCATTGGAAGTATGAGCACTGTGGGGTATATGACTTGCCTATTAGAAGAAATCCTCCTATTTCGCACAATGAATGATAAAAAGTGAATAATATGAATAATTATCTAATATAACTCTTGCTTGCAGCTTCATGAGTTACAAGATCGCAATGCAGAATGTGAGGGGATACTGCAGGAGACTCAGGATGAACTGAAAATGCTGCGGTGCAAAGCCAGCCCTTCTGCACTTCTTAGAAGGCCCCAGTCATACAGCGTTTTCCCTGTGGTAAGAACACTTTACTGTTTAACAGCCCACTTATCATATATATGATATATTTTTACATTTTGTATAGAGAATGGAAGGATTGGAGGTCCTGTCTGGTGTTTGCTACTCTCTGGGGCTCTGTTAGAGAGACTTCCTCCTACTTACTGTCATATTGAGAGCAGTTTCACAAGAGAGAATCTGCAACTGTGGCTCGGACAGCAATAAAAAGCTGAGCGGGTGTCCTATCCTGCCTATACTCTTTACAATGAAAAAAAAATGCATTTCTGTCTGTGATGCTGTTGGAGATATTGGGGTTTATTTACTAAAGGCACCTAGACTATTCACTCTGCTGGGGAACTTTCCCTTAGCTTGGTGAATGTGTTGCAAATTCACTTTGCAAAGAATACCCAATCCCGAGGGGAAAAAAACAGCATTTTTGCTTGTATAGGTTTGGATGATGGAAGTCGCCTCATTCACGAAGGAAAAATTCCCTTGCAAAGTGAACAGCCCATTTGTCTTTAACTTACCTCTCAGCCTCCCATCCTGTCTGGTAAAATTGTTGCCATATTCTAATATATTTTTTCCTTATTCTAATATATATTTTAGGATTCTTTGGCAGCAGAGATTGAGGGTACTATGCGGAGAGAACTGAGTTTGGAAGAGGATTCAAACCTTGGAGAAAGAAAGTAAGAGATGATCTGATTAACCCATTTATATCTCATAACATTAGAGAACAGTAATTATACTTATGCAGGTTAAAATCCAGGTATTAAAGCAAAACTCGGGGAGCATCTGGCTTGCTCTTAGACCGGTTCCTTCCACCTGTGTCCTCCTCCGCTGCAGAGATGGTAGTCGGTATCCTCACCGCCTATACACAGTGTATAGAACGTGATGACTCACAAGACCTTAGACCGCTGCAGCAGGGGGTAGCAAGGCGGAAGGGATCGATCTAAGAACAAGCCGGCTCCAAGGATAGGGTGAGTATAACTTTTGATTTTTGAACCTAGACAAAAAGGAGAACTACAAGGGTTGAGAAAAATGTTTCCCAGTGTTCTGCTTTTAGTAAACCACTGTTCCTTTATAAATATTACAATTCTCAGAAACAAATAAGCAGATACCTTGATTACCGGTTTTCTAATATTTGATAGTTCTGTATATTCATTTGTTTTATTGCAAATATACTGCTACTATTAACCATAAGTATTTTAAAGTTTTATAAATGTTCCAACAGTATTTCAAATCATTTTTGTTTTTTCAGATATCACTAATATCACTTGTAAGAGCTTTTTTTCAATTTCTTTTTCTATAGTCTTGGTCAATTTTGTTGAATGTTTGAAAACCCTACATGCAGCCTTATCTGTCAATTATATCCATTAAGTGTACACGCAAAATAATGCTTTCTGTGTTTGAGACCATGTTCTGGTGTCTTGGTGAACGGAAGGAAGCACTGCTAGTAGGAACTATTACACTCTGCGCTAGACTAACATATAGGGAAGTGTTTTGAATCTATGCTTAATATATAGCATTAGTTTGCGTACTACTCTAGAATGTTTTAATGGGAATAGTATTATTCACTTCTGAAAGTTTTTAGGGGGAACCAAAACCAGCAGCTCCCGAGTTAGTTTGCAGCCAGTTAGCTGGCTGAAATATGCTGCTATCTCAAGAATCACAAAAGTAAGAAAAGGATCTATCATGTTTATTGAATGAGAGTCCACACTAAAAAGGAATTTGATTTTTTCTTATTAGGAAACAGCCAAAACGGGTGTTTGATACAGTGAAAGTAGCCAATGAACTGCGCTGCCGATCTTCTGTTACATCGATACCTGGATCTAATCGTTCCGGACTAGTGATGACTGCCCTACCTTTTGAATCCGGGGCAAAGACCGAGCAGAAGAATCCTGACACCTGTCCAATTGAGCAAGGCACAAAGGAAAAGTAAGTGGGGAAACAATGTGGTTTAAGTATTTCTGTTAGTCTGAGAATTTTGGGACTGGCTTCCTGACGAAAGTCAATAGGAAAGACGCCTTTTGTCGAAAGGTTGGGGTCCCAATAGGGCCACATACTGGTTGAATTTCTTCAGACTTGCTAATTCTTCTAACTCGCTGGTTTTTGCTGTTTTCAAGTGATTGAGGTGAAATACAAAGCTCCCAATGGTAGCAAATCTTCAAATTTCTTTTTAACGCTACGGCAAAATTATGAAAGGGCAAACGTAAAAATTTAAACATCATATAAGAATTTAAGAAACATGCTACAAGTACAAATGACAAGTACAAATTCACCTTAATCTCTGCTTTTTACAAACGCATGTTTTACAATCTGTTTTACTACATTTATAGGGACCACTCAAAGCTGGGAGATAATAATTTGGAAACGGCATTGCACAGGCTCCATCTTAGAAGACAAAACTACTTAAGTGAGAGGCAGTTTTTTAAGGAAGAGTGTGAGAGGAGGTTGAAATATCTAGACGATGAACGGGACCAGAACAGCTGTAGAAGTCCCACTGGAAGTGTCTTGTCCATGTCAACCCACTTGTCAGATTTCACAGACGGTTCAGCTACCTCTAGTACCCTGCGCAGCCTTCTTCCAGAGAAACTGCAGATCGTCAAGCCACTGGAAGGTGTGTATCTGTGGCAACTCTTTCTTAGCCACTTTTGACTCCATTAAACACTCACTGTAATACCTTAAACGTATGCGCTTTAAAAACATTTTATTAGAGAAAAACGTATTATATGTTCCAAAGCTTGGCCTTTTCTTTATAAAAAAAATGTTGGTTAATGGGCCTTGTGTATATGGGTATTTGTTACTTTCTTTACCTCATGTGTAGTCTACAATATTTTTTTCCCCCGCTTCAGTCAGTATGTAACCTTCCTTTCTTTTTTTCCAGGTTCCCAAACTCTCCACCAATGGCAACAGCTAGCACAGCCAAACCTGGGTACCATTCTAGATCCCCGTCCTGGTGTAATGACCAAAGGTTTTAAACCTCTTCCTGAGGATGCTGAATACCACTTATGCGATTTAGAAGAGGATGAAAAGGAAGATGAGGATGATGATGATGAAGAAGGGATAACATTCGAAGTGCAGGAAAGAAAGGAAGAAGTGCCAACATCCAGCTTAAACATTTTCCTGCCACCCATTACTGTGTCATCAGCATCAAGTTCTGGTTAGTTCTGATAGTGCACCTTTTCAATTTTGGACCTTAGGGCATGGCCTGCTACCACAATAATCTATGAACAGATATCTGGTTAAGGCTTTGTGCCTCCTACTTACTGAGAGGCTTTGCCGTTCTCAGTGGGGAAAAAGTGCCTGCAAATTGAGCTCAAGACCCATCCAGTCCTTGAAGCCTGACAACAGTTACTGACTCAAAAGACTGACACTTGTAAAGTATTGATTTTTAATGTGCAGAAACGTCTTATATGCATTGTCTTTTTAATGCGTCTGTTTTCGGTTGATGTGCACATTTCACTTTTTTCTTCACCTTTTGTACATTATAGTCTGTGGCACATTTCCATCAGTAGACTATAAACCTTTAACATTTTGCAAAACACGTTACAAAAACAGTTGTAGCTCCCTGTATCTTAAGGCGTTCGCTGGGTTTTCTATAACAATGTCATCATTGTTATGTGTGTTCTGCCTTTTGTGGCTACATACTGTACAAATAACCTGTCTTTTCATGATTATTTGCATTGCAGCAACAAACCCCGGCAAGTGCCTGGGCAGCACAAACTCAACATTTACTTTCACCACTTGCCGAATCCTACATCCCTCCGACATCACTCAGGTTACTCCCAGGTAAGCTTAACCCAAACATTGGTAGAGTCTTTCCATGCAGTAAGTTCATCCACAGCCAGGGTCATAGCTCCACAGAACAGTCATTGGGCTGTAACAGTAATTTCCAAAGTTAGAATATTTGCTTATAGGAACAATGTAATATTTGATTTCATTAAAAAAAGATTAAGTAAAAACATTTAAAAGCGACTTCTACAAGAGGCATTTCGATCACTCTAGTTGCCTAGAGGAAACCAAACTGGCTTTTCTCATGTAAACCATTTATTGTTTTAGTATCTAATAGCTCTTTCACACAGCAACATTTGCCATGTTTTACCTTTGAAATAGTAAAGCCAATTTTTTGGTTTAGTTTTGGATAGACGGTTCAGTGGGTAAAACTCATGTCATATAGTTTTGTTTTTTGTTTTATTTTTTTATTTTCTGTCTGTGTACTTTTGGGAAGATTTTTCTTGGAGTGTATGTAATGCAAAAAATAAAATCACTTTATGCACTGTAAAACTGTTTTTTTTCTTTTACTATTCAGCCTTTTTTCTCTTCGGCTTTAAATACACAAATACCTGGTGATCCTGTCTGTCTCTTTCCTACTTTCAAAGCTTCCTGCTGCATTGCTTTTGTTATGGCTCATACCCCTGTTAGCACAGACAGACATGCGCAGTCCAGCTTTCAAAAGGAACAGCAGGACCCCATTCTAAAACATGGCATTCCTGCAGTTATCTAGTCAGCCTGTTTCATCACAGGCTGGCCCACCCACAGCCCTGCTCTCCTTATAGTCCGTGACAGCAGCTAATGTGCTAAGGCTCACTGTATAGTAAAATAGTAGCCATACCTTAAGTAGCGGGGCAGAAGCTGCTGATCGTCAGAATAACTTTTTGCCCTCTACCCCTACCGAGCGTGAATAATCTAAGGTATAACGGTCAGTTGCCTGCTTTTATAAACCATAAAATATCCATTTACAGATTTTAATTGTAATAACAAAGGATGTTACTTTTACTTTATTGAGCACTTTAAATCACTGAGCAGTTGTGCATGTTAAGGATTCACATACACCTTAATTTCCCAGGGTCACAACAGGAAGGGAGAAGAAATCTCTCCAAAGAGGGGAAATCTCTTGTAAAGTTGTATACACCTGTAGGTGTCCTCATGGGAAGGTTTCTCTTCTATTCCTGTTTGGTGACAACTGTAAAATTGTACGAATAGAGAAGGTGACTGTCCCCAGTGTGGATACAGACAACAATTTAAAAAAAAAACATGCTCCATTCACACATAGTGGCAAAAATGTGCAAGCTTCAACATACACAAGGATATCACACATTTGCAGCTATTACTATAGCCGGAACGCGCGGAATCCGCCCACAAAATCACACTTGGACTACCGTATGTTGTAGGACGCACGGTTGCGTACCGCAAAAGTCTGAACAATGCACATCGCAATGCATTGTTTATGTTCAGCAGCCAAACACTTGTGGAGCTGCTCTAAACAGAAAAAAATGCACTTTAATGTGCATTGTTCAGCCTTTTGTGGCAGTCACGCGGTACGAAACCGATTGGCTGGCAAAATAGTCCAAACGTGGAATCCGTGCAGTTGAAAGATTTTAGCGTTTGCGTTGCCACGCAGTCTTCCACACGGAAGACCACGCGGGTAACGCATACGCTATATGGGAATAGAGGCTTAGGGGTTCTAATTCTTCCCCACTCTAGCCCGAACAAAAAAAAGCCACAAACAAAAAGTTAAGTTTTTAAATACACTTTAACGTATATTATGTGTTCTAAAGTATAAGATAATATATATATATTTTTGACCTATACAGCCTATTTTGTTGAGTAATGCACTAACATGTTTCATTTTCATGTTTCATTTTCATGTTTCTTTCAGTTCTATGTACACTTCTTCATCTTTTGGAAGTGGCAGCACTTCCTCCACTAGTACATTGGTGAATTCTCCTGCTATGTCCTGCCGGCTGAGTGTTGGGGAATGTTTTGGCAAGGATATAGATCCCAGGTTAAGCAGCACAAGTAACTTAACCAAACTTCTTCAAGAACAAGGGATTTCCGCCAAGGTGAACAGCGATAAGGATGAAGAGAAGCCACCACGACCACAGAATTTACTTCTTCCTTCCACACCACCCAATTCTCCCACCCGGTCTCCCTGTGTTTCTCCCCAAACATTTGAGCCAATAGCAAATTCCTCAGAAAACTTCCTTGCAATTTCCAGACCAGCGGAGAGCTTTCTTCAAGAAATGTATGGTTTAAAGTCCACACGAAACCAAGCTGATTTGGGGCAACTGAAGATAAATTTGGTGGATCGATTGAAGAGGTTAGGAATCGCAAGAGTAGTTAGCCAGCCAGGCCAGGCGGACCAAGTGCAGAAGTTGGCACTGAACAATGGGTTAAAACGACAAGAGTCTGCTATGTTTGTTGCAACAAGCAGTAGTCTATTGGGCGGCCTAAGAAGGAACCAGAGTCTTCCAGCTATTATTGGTGGACTTGCAGCTCCAGCGTGCACATATCCTCCAAAAATGGGTAGCTTAAAAGAAGACTTGGCACATAAATAATAATAAAAGGGACTGCTTTGATTAAGTGTTCTCTGTTCAGAGAAGGAGTACTTGCATGTTTGTGAAAGGTTGTAGAAGGTTTGTGGATGTGAAGGAGGAGAAAAGAGATTGTAGGAATGATTCCCTACTAGGGACATTTATAAAAAGTAATGCCAGGCTGTGTAGAAGGACCTTGGAAAGTGATACAGAATGACTGACTGAAGAGTAGGATTTAGATCTAGATAAAATAGGGCCACTGCTGTAGATATTCCAAGGAGGAGCAGAATTAAGCTGCTCAGTTTTGCATTCAAAGATATTCCTCAAGCAGGCCCCTATTTTACCACTCATTTCTGAGCTCATTTACTGATAAATGATCTAAAGAACGTGGACGTGACTGGAGGTTTGATACAGAGACCATTTAATAAATCAAAGCTAAAACTGTTACATAAAGTGTTAAAGATTCTAAAGATCAGCTGTATGGTAATGAGTATTCCAGCTAACTTTATAAATATATATGAATGTAAGAAATGTATAGCCAGTTCATAAACTTCTAGAAACAATAAAAGGAAATGAGAATGATAGCCTACCTAAAAAATTGGCAAAGAAAATGAAACTGTAGAAAAATAACAACTAAACTTTATACATTTCCTTGTTCTTAATAGGGCTGCAGCTAACTATTATTACCATAATAGATTAGTTGCACAATTTAATTTTTTCAACTAATCGATTGGTTGCATTAAAAAAACTTGTCCTCCCTCTCTCGCTCCCTCCCTTTTCTCTCGCTCCCTCCCTTTTCTCTCGCTCCCTCCCTTTTCTCTCGCTCCCTCCCTTTTCTCTCGCTCCCTCCCTTTTCTCTCGCTCCCTCCCTTTCTCTCGCTCCCTTTCTCTCTCTCGCTCCCTCAGTTGTTGCAGCCCTAGTTCTTAATATGCAATCATCTAGATTGCTGTATGATGTTACCTATCTGCACCTTCTCCACTTACTTTAATGTATGTAAGGTGTTGTTTTTGCACATATTGTGACATGCCTTCCTTTGGACACCATCCAGATTGTTTTAGTCCATTTTGGTTGCTCCATTCTTAGGTTTCACTTGCCTAACTGTCCCTGACTGCTTTCTTGCTACTTTGTTTGTGGGAAAGATATGATGTACTCTTTGTTTAGGTAAATAGATTGCCACAACAGTACAATAAAAAAAAAAAAAATAGCAGAAGGTGGCCAGCTGGGACCAATAGACTGGCGAATCCCAGAAAAGACACAACTAGAAGTAATATTTTGGTATGTTGAGCATCAATTGTTTAGTCAACATGTTTAAACATGAATGGAGTTAAACTTTCATGGCTTTAATTGATCCAACGTCTTTTGGTGGAAAATATTGGACAAGTAATAAATAAGGCAATTTCTTTCTAAAAAAGAATTCCCATCTGGTGAAAGAATACATTTTTAGCACTTTTTAAGAGAAAAAAAAAGCACAACGTTATGAAGAATTAAAGTTTTATGTACTGTGAAGGAATAAAAATAGGACAGTTTATAAGCTGACTCTTATGAAAGCGTCACAACAGAGGATTTTTTACTTTGCTAATAAAAGGCTATAAGCCTTATTTTTCATTTTCCAGGTATTGTTATCCGCTAACAGTTAATCTGGTGCAACAAGTTTTGTGCAATATGTCAAAATTCCTTACTTCTGTCAGTCTGTTTAAATATTAACCTGTTGATGAGCATCATTTTATTGCCTGTTCTTATGGATAACCTACAGCTGACCTTTTTGTGTATCTTTCTTGTACAGGCAAATAATACATGATTGAATTCTTGTTTGTGAACTAACGACGGAATAGATGCATGCAATATGTACTTCTATCTGTGTATGCAGCTCAGCCTACTTTATCTTGATAAACTTTCTCATGTCAACATTAGCTTTCAGCTATGTAATAGATAATGATAACGTGCTAATACTTTGTAGGTGCAGATTTTTTTCTTGTGACATAACCACTATAAAAAAATGTATTACTATCCTAATTGTAGGGCATAATAAACACCCCCAAACACTACCAAATTACTTTCCCTGTACATAAAGGCATTATAGTATTCTTCAGATGATATGACCAACTTAAGCTGATATTAGAGTGGTTGAGTAGATGCCCGCAGGTTTGCCAGTGAATATGGACTCCGTGGTTGATATGGCATCTGAGGATCCCACTCTCCCTTTTGATTTTCACCTTAATTCATATTACAAAGAATGTAACAGTAAACCAAGTCGTCTCTGGCTGCATCAGGGCTTTGAGACTTTTTGACAAGATTATACAGGTAATTCAAACAATGGGCACTTGCTTAAAGTGGACCTTCCATGAACTTGGAAGGTCTGCTTAGATGGCAAGCCTGCACTACCTGTATATAAAGAGGGTACATAAACAGTGAACAGGCGTTTTAAAAAAATACCTTGGAATCCGGCTTATGACCCTTCCAGTCGCTGGTGATTTCATGGTCGTACCTCACCAATGCATCAGGGAGAGCTGGGTGCACATAATCCTGAGAGAATGTGCACTCAGCTCACCTCATATGCTACAAGGTGGCATCACCTCTTCCATCTGAAAGCATTGGAGGCCAGGCCCCAAGAAAAGTGTTTTTATATTGTTTTTAAAATGCTGTAATATTGGCAAATATTTATATATTTTTTAATACAGGTGGTGCAGTGCTGTCATCTTTGATTGAAGGTGCACATTAATCAAAGATGACAGCACATCACCTTTCATTGAAGGTGCACATTAAAAATAGAATAAACTGTTATAAAGATTCAGTCCACGAAAAACCAAAATATGTCTATACCAGTATAGTCCATTTAGTTTTATGACCAGCGTTCAATGAACATTTTACTTTTTATGTGTATATGGTTTCTTTGCTGAACCATCATGAGAAGAAATCCAAATGACTTTTGTGCCATTTTTTTTTATTTTTTACAACAAAGCTTTTTGCACTAAAGTTTATGAATGCATTGCTTTTATGCTGTTATCTATACAATGTGGAATACTTGATATTTTTATGACCAGTTGTATTTTGGCCATTGAAGACTGCCTCAGGATTATATGTGCAGGGATATAGTTAAATTTGTTGAAATAGTTTAGCATGTAACGGGTAACACAAGTTGTTGCTGTGATTTAAAAATGTGTTTTGAAGGTTCCGTGAAGTTAACAGACGCTGAGGTGTATTTAATAAGGCTGTACAAAGAGCACTGGTATGCTGTTACCCTCATCAAACAGTCATACCAATGGAAGATGATTGCTGGCTGTTTGCTATGAGTTACTGGACTTTACTTATTGCCCTTTGACTTATTAATGGTCACTTTGTCAATAAGCTTTTTGTAAAGAACTTTGGCTTTAATTTATTTGCCATTAATATTGGTTCCCATGGGTACCTAGTTAAAGGAGAACTATGGGGTCAGGGCTTTTCCCCATAGTTCTCCTTAGGGTAACGGGAGGACACAAACTAGCGTCCTCCCGTCACCCTAAGCTCAGTATACCGCCAGCTACAGCTCGCGGTATACTGAGACGCCGGAGCGGATCCCGACATCGATGTCGAGATCCGCCCAGCTGCGTGAGTGACACCTGGCTCTGCCTATCTAGAGGCAGAGCCAGCTGTACCCTCCCCCGTCCGTTCCGCCAGTCAGCGCTGGCGGATCGGAGCGTGGAGAGGGGAATCCAGCCCCTCCCCTGTCATGGCAGAGAGCCGTGACAGGATCAAGAAGTGAGCGAACACCGCTATGTGTTCGCTCACCTCCCGATCTACTGAGCCGACCTGTGACAGTCTCATTGTCACAGGGCGGCTAGAACTATGAGGTGACTGAAAAGCACTCACCTCATAGTTCTCTTTTAACAGGCTAGGTAATGTTCGTGTCTTCTTCCCCATAATTCCACTATTTTGCTTTTATTTACTCTTCTTTTCCTGGGATTCACTTTTTTTTTCGTTTTTTCTAGTCACTTTTTGTTTTATTCATGCAATGCTTGTTACCTTACACCTACATCACTAACTTATACCAGCCACATACGGAGCCTACAAAGAGAATTATTGACTATATCATTAAAGCTATTCACTTTATATCCTGTGTCATGATTTCACGATTTGCTTAAATTTCGAGAGCAGACATTTGACTCTTCAATTCTTCAAGGATTAAATCACTTGCTTTTCTGTGTATACACTGATCAAACCTCGTGTTACATGCTTTGTGCCCTGTAACTGCCTATCACTTTTCTCTTTGCCTCTTATCCTGTGTATATTTTAAAAATAAAGATGAGATCCTGAAAAAAATTTAAAATGGTAGTTTAGATGAGGATCTGACTTGGTTTTAAAATATTTAATTGTGTATATATCATATTACATTATTGTTTTAAATATGTTGAGTATATAATATTGTATACCTTGTTTTTATGTTTCCACCAATAAACATTTTTGATCTTTGTACATTTTACATGATGAGTAGCTCTTTTTTTTTCCCCCCCACAACTGGCACGTTTGCTTTGATTATACTTGAAAAATATATTAATACTAATCAGGACTATGATCACTAAATAGTAGGGTTTTCTCTCCTTTTATTCTGTATGAATACTATGGTCCTCCAAAAGCGTTGATTTTCAGGATTTTGCACAATGTAGCCACACATACAGAAGGCAGGTTAAAACCTAATCCTATCATCCACTTGTGCCAGTGATACAGGGTACTTTTATGTCTTTGTATGACCAGTGTTGCTAGAACACGTCTTTCACATCCATATAAACATGTTATCTTGTAACCCCCCAAGTTGCATCAGTGATCTCTCTGGATTTCTTCTTTAAATAGTAATAAGTGAAGTGTTTGTTTTAATTAATCTAAACCCAGGAAGACAAATATAATATATTGCAGCTTACCAGTCCTTAGATGTAATTAACTAGATAGGTTTATTATCTTTCTGGCTTTTATTTCCTTTATTTTTATCTGGTGATCAGTAAGCTATAGGGGTAGGTATTAATAAACTGATCTATATTCTGGCATTATTAAGTTCAATTTAAGATTATTAGACGTGTCAATAAACTTGGTGACACTAAACTCAGGAGTTAAACCGTAAAAATATATTGAAGTACCCTAATTATTAACAGTTTATTATTCTCTTATTTGTGTATCACTCGGCTGTAGATCCTCAAATCATCGCTGAATTCATGCTGACACTGTCCTTCCTTCTGGAGGGTGG